ATTTTGTGCATTTGGTCATAAAATCTATAAAGGGGTTTCTTCATGTTCAAGTGCCAAGGAGCTTTGGAATAAGCTCGAGGAAATCCATGGAAACAAGAAAGAAGAACCAACAAATGTGGTGTCTCTAATGGCTTGTGAAGAGCCCGAGGTATCTTCTAACTCAAATGAATTTAATTCATATACGTTTGATGAGTGGCAAGATGTTTTTAATAGGTTATATTCGGAGTTTGAGGCTATGAACTCCAAATATAAGAAAATGATTTCAAAATTTAAAATTGAAAATGATTTTCTTTTGAAAACAAAAATAGATTTTGAAAGCCAAAATGAAATTTTGAAAAAGGATTTAGAGCTTTCAAAAATAAAAATTGAAAGTTTTGAAAAAGAAAATTTTGATTTAAAAGTTAAGCTTGAATGCTTAACAAAAGAAAAAGAAATCATTTTAAATAATTCATTTAGTTCAATAATGACAATATGCTCACATTGTCATTATCATGGTCATAAGGAACATACTTTTCATTTGAAGAAAGGAAAACGTTTTAAAATTAGACAAATGTGGATTCCTAAAGGAGCAAGGGGCATTGAAACTAACGTCCAAGGATCCAAAGCAATTTGGATACCAAAATCGAAACGAATGTCTCTTTTAGGTGTGTGGAAGCAATTGTGATGAAAATGATGATATTCAAGATGCTCTTTCCACACATGAAAAGGAATGGGTAACCTCTAAGTTTAATGTTTTTGATTTTAGTTATTTGGTTGCTCATTTGATTTTAAGAATGCATGAGTCTTGTTTTTTAAATAATTATACATTATTTTTTTAATCTCATGTATGTTAAAAAGGTTTTATGATGAACATTTTAAAGTTTTAATGATTTTTTTAGAATTTTTAGTTCATCATAAGGAATTTTGGTCAAAATTGGTTTTAATGCAAATGATATCTCTCTAACAATTGATATCAACTTTTCAAATGTTTTGATTTTATAAATTTTAAAATTTTTGACCTAAATTTAAATGTTTATGCATGTGGTTTAAATGAAAATGATATCTCTCTAACAATTGATATCAAAATTTTCAAATGCATAACATTTTTGGAAAACTTTATGCATATGCACTTAATTTCAATAATTGATATTGCATAAAGTATTTTAGACTTGGAAGTATTGAATTTCATGTGCTACTAATATGTTTGTTATTTTTTGTTGAAATTCAATTTTGTTTAAGTGTCAAGATCCTAAAAGCATAATTTTATTTGGAATGCATTTACTCAACCTTTAGCTATAACAATAGCTAATGGTGAAAAACATTTTAGTACTGCAAAAAGTAATAAGATGAGTTGGAAGATGCAAGGTTATGAATTTCAGCATGATTTCAGAGTATTATCTTTGTGAGGCAGTGATATGGTATTGGGGGTGGACTGAATGAAATAATTTAGCCCTATTCTAATGGACTTTAAGGCAAAGACCATTAGTTTTGAGGAGGGGGAGAGACTGTGGTGATAAAAGGTACTCAGAAGTTACCAGTACTAAGACCTATTACAGGTGAGAAGTTTCAGAAATTAGTTGAAAAAGATACTGAAGTGAGTGGGGAAATTTATTTGTTGAGTGCTGAAGCTGAGGACAGTATGATTCCTCTATTTTTACAAGACTTATTACAGGAATTTCAAGAAGTGTTTGAGGAGCCAAAAGGAATGCCTCCTAGAAGAAAACATGATCATGCCATTATTATTAAACAGGGGACACTACCAGTTAATTTAAGACCCTATAGGTTTGCTCATCATCATAAAACTGAAGTTGAAAAGCAGATTGCTCAAATGTTATCCTCTTCTATCATACAAGTAAGTAAAAGTCCTTTTGCTTCTCCTTGTTTACTTATTAGAAAGAAGGATGGTACTTGGAGGTTTTGTGTGGACTATAGGCAACTTAACTCTGCTAAAGTTAAGAATAAATTTCATATTCCTATAGTGGAAGATTTATTGGATGAGTTACATGGGGCTAATTTCTTTTCAAAGATTGATTTGAGATATGGTTATTGGCAAATCAGAATTAAAGAAGATGATATTCATAAAACAACTTTTAGGACTCACCAAGGGCATTATGAATTTAAAGTTATGCCTATTGGCCTTACTAATGCTCCAGTTACTTTTCAAGCTTTGATGAATGATCTGTTTGGGGCATATTTAAGGAAGTTTGTTCTTGTGTTTTTTGATGATATTCTAATTTACAGTTCTAGTATGGCAGAGCATAAGAAGCATTTAAGAGTGGTGTTGGAAATTCTGATGAAGAATAGATTATATGCAAAAAAGAGTAAATGCTTTTTTGGACAGCAGGAGGAGGAATATTTTGGGACACCTAATTTCTGCTAAAGGAGTAGCAAATGGCACTGCTAAAATAAAGGCTATGCAACAGTGGCCTTTACCTAAAAATTTGAAAGCTTTGAGAGGATTTTTAGGTTTAATAGGGTATTACAGAAAATTTATTAAAGGGTATGGAGAATTGAGTAAACCCTTGACTAATATGTTGAAGAATGAAGGGTTTCATTGGTCCCCAGAAGCTAAAATGGCTTTTGAAAAATTAAAAAGAGTTATGTGTGAAGCTCCAGTGTTGGTTTTGCCAAATCAGATTTTTTTTAGAAACTAATACTAGTTCTAAAGGAATTGGGACTGTTCTATCTCAAGCAGGCAGACCTATAGCTTATTTGAGTAGGGCTTTGGGTCCTAAACATACATATCTTTCTATTTATGAGAAGGAATATTTGGCTATTTTGATGGCAGTTTCACATTGGAGACATTATTTGGAGAGTGGCTCTTTTGTAATCAATACAGACCATGAACCTTTAAAACATCTTCTAGAACAGAAGTTAACTACAACTATACAGAAGAAAGGACTTACAAAGTTGCTTGGGTTGGATTATACCATTCAGTACAGGAAGGGTAAGTCTAATAAGGTAGCAGATGCACTCTCTAGACAACAGACAGATTCTGGTGAATTTATACAGATAGGAGTCACAATTATAACTCCTACTTGGATGAATGATATTGAAAAGAATTATGAAGATGATGTTATAGCTCAAGAAAAAATTCTTATTCTGGTTATTCAACCAGACATCATACAAGATTGGAAGTTAGTAAAAGGGGTGTTGTATTTCAAGAACAAGATTTATGTGGGTAGCAAAGGGGAGTTGAGACATAATATTATTGTGGCTCTACATGATTCACCACAAGGATGGCATTCAGGTATTCAGGCTACTTATCAAAGAATTAAGTCTTATTTTTTTTGGCCAAGAATGAAGACTTTAATTCAAGACCATATTTAGCAGTGTGAAGTTTGTCAGAGGACCAAAATAGAGCATATTCCTAAGCCAGGATTATTACAGCATATTCCTATTCCTAATAATGCTTGGGAAGTGATTACAATGGGCTTCATTGAGGGTTTACTACCCTCACCAAAGTTTAATTTCATTTTGGTAGTGATTGATAAATTCACCAAGTACGCTCATTTTATGCTATTAGCTCATCCTTATACAGTGGTGGAAGTTGCTAGGGTGTACCTTGATCAAGTCTATAAATTACATGGTCCTCCTAAGGTAGCTATTTCTGGAAGAGATAAATCTTTTACTAGTTTATTTTGGCATGAATTATTGAAGCAGTTGGAGACCACTACATTATTCAGTACTGCCTATCACCCTGAGACAGATGGCCAAACTGAGAGGCTCAATCAATGTCTTGAACAATATTTGAGGTGCATGTGTTTTTTAAAGCCAAAGACTTGGTCAAAATGGTTAGCTCGGGCAGAGTGGTGGTACAATACTAATTACCACACTACCCTTCGAATGACACCATTCGAAGCTTTATACGGTTATCAAGCCCCTAATGTAACATGGTCAGCAGATTCTAAAGTGGATGCAGTACAGGATGTCATGCAACAGAGAGAGCAATTAAATTCATTGCTAAGGGAGTAGTTACTTAAAGCTAGTAATAGAATGAAGCAAATTTCAGATCAACATAGAACAACCAGAGAATTTCAGGTAGGGGATGAAGTTTACCTGAAGCTTCAATCATATCGTCAAACATCCCTCGCTTTAAGGAAAAATCTAAAACTTGCTGCTCGATACTTTGGTCCCTACAAAATACATAAAAGGGTTGGTCAAGTTGCCTATCAATTGGAATTACCATCAGATTCTAAACTACATCCAGTGTTTCACATTAGTTTATTGAAGAAAAGAATAGGGAAGCAGGGACTTATCTCGATGAATCCTCCAGAAGTCGCTTCGGATGGTCAATTAAAAATCTATCCAGCGTCTGTTTTGAAGAGAAGAATAGTGAAACGACAGAATCAGTCTATTCCTCTGGTGCTGGTTCAGTGGACAAATATGGGATTAAACGACGCAACTTGGGAAGATGCTTCGATTCTTCAGAACCAATTTCCCGATTTTGATAATTGGGGACAAGGATCGTCTGATGGGGGGTATTGTCATGATGGAAGGTGAGTTAGGGTTTAAAGTAATCAATTTGGGGAAATATCGAAGAAGAAAATTGGGAGTGAAGCAGCAATAATTGGGGGAGGATCGAAAGGAATTAGGGATTGAGAAGTTACCTGAAGAGATTGAGGCTGAAGTAAAGATGGGAGGTGGGTCACGTGGTGAGGAGCAATGGGCCAGGATTTATTTGGGTAAAGGGTGTAGTTGGGCTCCATTGGATTTAAACCCAAATTAAGTAATATTATAGGCACATGTAGGATTTGGGGTATTACGAATCTAATATTAAGCAGAGGGTTGGTAGGGTTGAAATGGGTGAGTCAGCAGGGAGTTAGTTATTTTGTTATTTGGCTATACTGCTAGTTGTAGGGTACTTGTTAATATATAAAACTGTACCACATCTTTTGAGAATTATCTAATGAATGAATGAGCACATTTTCTGTACCTATTTCTTCTATTTCTTAAATCCCTAGAAAATTCTTCTATCCTAAATCATAACAATGGACAGCATAGAGTGAAAGAAGGAAGTAATGTTAAGCAAGAATCTCTCTATTTATGATTGCGATGAGTTCATAAACCCTCTTGATGTTGTAGGTGACTTTTACAATTCTTCAGGCACCCCAGTTTCTTTCTCTCGAAGAGCACCTAAGAATAAATCTAATGTTGTCATGTCTTCGGACTTTGAAGACGAGCAATTTAATATACATCCTTCTTTAGTTCCAGGAAAGAATGTCAGCTGTGGATTGTTTATAAAAGAAGACTGCAGACTCCTCTCACATTCTCCAAACATTCAGAATAGCTTAAGTCCGCCAAGATATCTGGTACTTTGTTCTCAAGCAGAGAAATGTGAGGGTGGTGGCTTCCATTGCTCGGAAACATCAAATGATTTAGAAATGGAAACTTGCAAGTCTTTGGATGTATCATATGTTCCTGAATCATCCTTTGTCCCTGAGACTGAAATTGGTAATGGAATGGAACTGTCTTCTAGAACTGTGTCTTACGCTAATGTTGCTGAAACAACAGAAGTTTCAGTGAGTTGCGAGTTATCTGAGGACCTGATCCCAGTTGAAGTAAATAACTCTTGTGAATCTATACATAAATTAGTTAATACTTCAGATATGTTAGACGGTACATGCAGTAGTACTGCAGAAGCTTCTCATGAAGAGGTAGAGAATTCTCAAGCCGAGTATGATGAGGCTGCACCAAGTGGCCATGCAGTGATGGATGAATGCAGGCGCATGAATTTCACCAAAAAATCCTTTTCCATGTGTAAATTGAAGAACGGTGCGACCACTGATTTAGTGCACGAATCATGGAGAAAACTTCGTGACAGTCATGCTGATATAAAAAAGTATGTTGACTTAAAGCCAAAAGATACAACTGAAATTTTGAAATTTACTTCTAGCATGAGTGATCTTATTTCACAAGCTGACTTGCTGCTTTCCAAGTGTCAGATACAAGTAAGTGACAAATAGTATTTTTCCCCCGAGAACATTTCTTATTGAGTTTATGCCTGTTATTGTGATACCAATATCTACCTGTCCAGGATTCTTTTGAGCAGTCAAAGATCCCTTCCAGGGACTCAAATGCATTCAGCTGGTGTGATGAGCAGCTGCAGATGGTTGACACTGTTTCCCAACATGGGTTTTGCTTGTATGCTAAAGATATTGATGCCATAGGATCAAAAATAGGTTTCGAGTGTAGGGTGGATTTGAGCCAGGAGATGCTGTCTTCCTCTGCTAGAGCAATGGCATTTGGTAGATTGCTTGAACATGATGCTAGAGCAAGTAGCACTTCAGTTGACGGAAAGCGTTTGGAAACGAGCCTTTCAAAACATGAGCTTGCAGTGAGAAGGTATAGAGTTGTTATCTTCCCTAAACCCTCACTTGGATGTATTTCTTGCATGAGGTGAGCATTTTGACCTTGCCAAATCTCAGTTCACATATCAATATTGACCATTTACAATTTCATTGTGGGTTTCTTAGGATGGAATGGTGTATTTCCTTGGATAGAAGAATATTATTTTGACATTTAACTTTAGTGCTCTGTTTGAAACAGATTTTAATTGCCTCTGCTCTCTTTAAAAGCATGTTTCCTTGCTGCTTGATTTATTCAATTCGAAACTATATTATCAGCTCTGTATTTTCAGTTTCATAAATTAGTTTTTGCTTTGACAGGGAAGTGAAGCCTTGCCTTTTGGACATCCTTAGGTCCATAGTCCCTTCAAGATTATACTTGGCCCTGAAGGGTGCTGCATGTCATGAATATATTTCCTCATTGGGATGCATTTCGAGATCAGAAGCTTCCCGCTTATCAGTAGGCAAGGGCTTGACAGGAAGGCGAAGGTATTCAAACATTTATTTCGAATCACTTTCCCGTAAATATTGCGAGTAATTTTTCATTAGTTTTGTTATGTTACAAAATTGATTTTATGCAGCAGACGAGGTGCTCACCATTACTTGAGTACCGGTGCACTGACATTATCCCCTGAAGATGTTTCATTGTTGGGCCAATATAACTTCAATGGAAATTTATCATGCAACTGTGGTTGCTAGTTAGCAAAATCATACCGATTACCAAGGATAACTAACGAGACGGACATGGTAATCTTCAAAGTTAGTGGCCTTGGCTTGAAGCAACTGCCATGGATAATTTCAATGGAGCTGAAAAAGTCGAGAACTGAGCTGCCAACAAAACACAATATCATTCGGCAATCAGCGGATGTTAAGTATTAGATATTAGTAATATTTATTTGGAAAACAAATGCCTGGAACAGCTATCGTTCAAGTCTTATTAACATGCCTCAACACATAAATGTAGATTAGAAATTGTGGGGTGTGATTCCATCCTTTCTCCTCATTGTCATAAGAGTTGTGATATCGTGATTATGGTAAGCGTTAGCTCAATCCAACAATCAACACATAGTCTTTATAGTGTGCGAGTGACATGCATATTTTATTTGTGTGCTTTGGAGTAGTTCTATATTATTTTATTCCCTTTACCAATCCAGTTAGAGGCACGAAATTAATTAAGCAATTTGGTAGTAAATTTGTGGGCAGAAATTCTCTTTTTTCCACATTAAGGAAAGATTATTTTATCAAGGCTTGAGGGGTGACTTTCTCCTGAGATAAATCCAAATAAATAATTTTATGTTTATTTTTAAATTATGTTAATTTTATTTTCAAACTCTTAATTATATTTTCTTGAATGAAATTAACTATTACAATACTAACGTATCAGCTAACGATGTTAAAGTGAGAGTATTTTGTATTAACATAAAGGTCTGTAATACTAATGCAATAAGTCGAATGTAAATAATAACATAATACAGACGTTGAATTGGTTTCTTCAGTTAAGTTTAAAAAACATAATTGATATTATAATCAACATGATTAATTTTAATAAAAAATTTAAAATTTTATTTAATCTTTTAAAAGAATAAATGATAATAATAGAAATAATGGGCTCACAAGACAAAACATTTCTCATTCACTTATCTACATCCTTGTCTGGGTCTCTCCATCTCTAGGATCCCCTGATTCCCCTATCTCCCATTCCCTCTGCTATTCTTATTTTCACTCTTTCCCATCTTTTTTCTCATCATACTCTCTTCTTCATCAATCATTTATCTTTCTTCCATCAACCACCAGCCGATTGCCCACCCCTTGGAATCATTTTTACACTCGTCCATTCTTCCAGAAACCACATTCTTACATGGCATCTCACCAAACGATTTCTCAACCCTCCCGTATTCCCCAATCTGAATAAACCCTGTGATCATCCCATTCCAGGAAGACAAATCCTTCTCCGGCATCCTCTCAAACAAATCAAAAGCCTCATCCAATTTCATATTCTGTGCATAGCCAGTAATCATTGCGTTCCACGACACCACATTCCTGCATCCTATCGAAAATTCTCCGAGCCTCCTCAACCCTTCCATTCTTTGCCAACCCTGCAACCATCGCTGTCCACGATAACATCCCTTTTAGCCATCTTATCAAATAATGCCCTCGCATCCTCAACTCGCCCACATTGCACGAATGCAGTTACCATCGTATTCCAAGAAACCACATTTCTATCAGGCATTTCATCGAACACGTCAAAAGCCTTATTGACCATCCCATTGTGCACATATCCATCGACCATAGTGTTCCAAGACACAACATTTTTAACTGGCATTTTCTCAAACAACCTCTCGGCATCCACAATTCTATTGGATCTCATATAGCCATTTAACATCGCGGTCCATGCTACATTCTTACTGGAATCGACTCTATCAAACAGTTTCCTGGCTTCCTCAATTAACCCAAGCCTGATATACGCAGGTATCACTGCAATCCAAGTGATTACATCTTTATCTCCTTCAGGCATTTTATCGAACAATTGTCGTGCTTGGCATATTCTGCCTTCTTTACTTAACTTAGTAATCAACCAATTGGACCGCGCCACGCTTGAATTAATACTGTAATCTATACTGGTTATCGTAGATTTGCTTTCCACTAAAAACACAGACCGGAGTCCGTTTAAGCTCTGAAGAACAGTGAATTTATTAATACATCTAAATGAGATTAATGCTCGAGGAATAACAAACATTTTTCCCCGGGCACTAAACGAATCCAAATGAAAAGACTGCAAAATTTAAAACATGAAGCCTGCAAAACGAAAAAGAAAAAAAAACCAGTCTATCTTAACGGACAAATAGAACTCGAAATCAGCATAAAACTACATATGAGCAAAGGAAAATATGAACCCAGAAAACCAGAACAAGTGGGAAGTAACGAAAGAGAGGAGCACGTTACGTTGTTGTGTCCTACAGTGAAAAAAAGGAAAGACAGCAATTAGAGAGTCATACAGATAATCGTCGATCTATCTCGGATTACTGTCTATTTTAGATCAAATTTGATTTCTTAGAGATTTTGTAAATAATGAGCGCTCTCTCGACCTTCAGGAAAGACGTAGCATTGAGGTTTATCAAATATAGTTTAAAAGATCTCATTGATCAAATTTACAGTCGATGGTTTTAGTATTTAATCGAATATGGTTGACAACACGAGTACAATTGCAATAGCTATCAATCCATGTTTTAATCTTCACTTTTATACGTCGAAAGATACTGAATAATGGACTTGAGTGTACACGTTGCTCAAACTGTACATGTGTTAACCCGTGCTAAGTTACAACCACTGTCATTCGCCAATTAATTAAGCAAATTTTTCCTTTTTCCACATAAAGGCAGAATAATTTTATTAACTAGCCACTAAAATTTGCAAACTTACTCGCCTTTCTCAAGATGGTCAATTAAGGCTGAATAATAATATTTTTCTCAAAATGGTCGAAAAATTAATGTATTTTTCTTTATAAATCTAAGATGAATATGTTGCGATCACCTTTCGGGTGGGTCCGGAATTGAGTTTCGACTTGAAATAAAATTGTTAGAGCTGCCACCGATTATTTAAAAAATATTTAGGTTGATAGGACATCATCTTACATGATCTGGGTTTTATCAGAAATATGTCGGATTCGGGAGTCGGCTACAGTCAAGGAATGATTAACACCCTCGAACTGCCCTTTCGATACCAATTAATTTGTCGGTTATCTTAATTACGAAAATTGAAATTGAAATTTAAAAATTCAATTCGAATTGCTTACATTTGATCGATTGAGATTATTAATAAAAAAGTAAAAAAATATGTTAAATTGAAAAATAAATAAAGAAATATCAAATAAAAGGAGAAAAAAAGTTAAAAAGGGGTTTAAAAAATAATAATAAAATAAGTAAAAAATTATTAAAGGGATAATAAAATAATAATAAAAATGAAATAATAACAAAATAAATAAAAACATACTAAAATTAAAAGGGGAAAATTGAATAACTAAAATGAAAAAATGTTTAAATTCAAAAAAAAGAAAGAAAAACAACGAATAACTAAAAATTTAAAGGACCGAATTGAAATAAATTGAAATTGATGGATTAAATTAGTGCTAAAAATGATCTGCAAGAGAAAAATAAAATGTTAGGAGGCCAATTCACAAAATATGAAAAATATAAACAGAGATTAAATTGAAAATTCGGAGGCAAAATTACAAACGGTGACCGAATTGAATTGCGTTTTAAAATAGTAGGGACGGCGAAAAGGATTTAAGAATCTTGTATTTGCACTTTAGTCACTTGGCTATAAATAGCCCTAAAACTAAAAAAATATAATTTTCAATCCAAAACCGAAAAAAAATCCCTTCCTCCAAGAAAAAGCTCTCACCCAAAACCCACCGATCGAAGGCCGATCACTTTCCTCGGCTTCAACTCCGCCGCTCGTCAAACACACCTCAAAATTATCCTCTCAGTCCCGTGAACACAAATCCAAGGCCCGATTATCCTGAATCGAGCCGAGTTGTCGTTTCGACTTTTACCTTTTCCTATGCATCTTCTCGGCTTCCCGACATTCCTTTCTTCGATGATATCTCTCCGTGCTCTTGCTGTTGATATCTTTACTTGCGTTTATTTTATTTGTTGGTTTTTCGGTGTTTTGGTGTTGGTTATTATGGTTGTTTTTGGTTCGATGTTTGTGGTTTGTATTTTGCTCCGATGGTGCTTTTGTGTTGTTTTTGGTTCGATGTTGTTGTTGGATCGTTGTTCTGTGGTTCAATGATTCTTCGATGCCCCTTTTTATAGCCTTCGAGGGGGGTTTATCTTCCTTGGCTCGGGTGTTGTAGTCCCGATTTCGACAGAATTGTGGGTTGTTGGCTGACCAGCTAAACGTGATGGGTCAGTCCCAATTTAGTCGGGATTATTTGCATAATCGATTTGTTGGTTGTATCGTCACATGTGCGACGCCAGTGCTAAGTGTAAAAACCCTAATCTACTACTTTGGGCTGAATCGAGTCTGCTGGGTCAGGCTACCCGGTTGGGCCCTGTTTCTGGACCTTGGACTAGACCTGGACCAAAAACGAAAAAAATGAATAATAAATAATAATAGAAAAAAATAATAATATTAATATAATATATAAAAAATCATTTTTAAAACTATATATTATATATGCTTTTAAAAATTGTTTTCAAAAACCATATAATATATATTTTGAAAAATTGTTTTTAAAACTATACAATATATATTTTCAAAAATATTTTCAAAACTATATTATATACATTTTCAAAAATATTTTCAAAACTATATATTATTTTTAAAATGTTTTCAAAAATGTTTTCAAAACTATATATTATATAAGTTTTCAAAATGTTTTTTTTAAAAAACTATATATCATATAAGTTTTTAAAATATTTTCAAAAACTATATATTAAATATATATTTTCAAAAACCGACTTTTAAAAAAAAACCTTTCAAAAACTATAACATTATAAAAAAAATTCCAGACGAAAATGAGTGTCTACAGAATACAATATAATATTTTAAATATTTAATATTATTATTAAACTCTAATCTGAAGGAGATAAATAATCATATTGGATACAATATTTATAGATTAAAAGTATGGATAAAATCCCGTCATACAATGTCTCTTTTAGTTTTATACAAATTTAGGACAGTTGGATGAACGAAAATAGATAGTTGAGATCTACACTAGGAAATAAGAAGATATTTACTGGGAAAAAATAATGAGTCAATCTCAACTATCGATTTTCACTTATCCAACTGTTCTAAATCTGTGTAAAACTAAAGAGTTTTACATTGTGTAAGTGGATCCTAACCTATAAAAATATAGATATAAATGATATGTAAATATTTTAATATATAATATATAAAAATATATCAATTTTTTTAGAAATAAAAATATATCAATTTAAATTATAGTAAACATATAAACATATTTTTACTAAAAATAAATATAATAATTATAAGTGTTTCATAAAAATATGTAAAATTTAAAATATAACTTCTTTTTTTTTTACAAAAAATAGATCTGATTTGTTCCTCCTATTTTTAGGTGATAAGGCTACCTACACCACCATACTTATTGTTATCCTTCACTATTGGTGTTCTCTTTCCTTTTTGTGCAAATTTGATTTATGGTGTACTTTAAGCAGAAGCAATGCAGCAGTCGAAGTAGAAATGGTAAAAGTAGTCTCTTTCGTTCTACGAGTTGCCAGGCCCCCATGTCTGTAAATGATTCGTTACAATATTAACTGAAGATTATGCAGGATCAAGCGTAGAATTATCATGTAGAAGAATGCAACGAAACTTTGGAAAATGAAAATTACATATGGATAGTGCTGCCTTCCAAAATCGTTATTGCATGATTACGATATTTGCAATCATTGTAATAACACTCCTATATCCACAATCACAATAAACTTAAAACACAGTTGTCATTGTAATTTAAATTTCTCTTACTCATTACTCAGTGTTTAAAAAATGTTAAAGATAGGCAGATAGCCACGGGCCTGACAGGACTGCAACCTGCAACAAATGTGAAAAATATTTGGGTTTTTTGTGCAACGTCAGTGCCAGCCCCACACTCATTCATTCATCCATAAATACATCTCTCTGCCCTTATCTTTCATTTCCCGCATTTCTTTATGTAGTTTTCAATTCATTTTTGGACCTTGCTGGCTGTTTCTCACCCTTTGTGTTAAGTGGCTTTTAATTTGTAATCAGTTTTGAAGAAAAATGGAAGGTTCGGGTTCCTTTATGAGGCAGCTGAGTAGAAAAGAAGGTTGCAAATCCACATCCTGGAGATGGGTAGGGGATGACTCCGGCAATAGTTTTGAGGCAAACTTAACTCAAATGGAAGAAGAGCTCAACATGAATGGCAATGGGGTTGATCAAAATGACATGGTGTTAAGGAAAAGAGTGATGGTTGTAGTGGACCAAAGCTCACATTCTAAGCATGTCATCATGTGGGCTCTTACATATGTAGCTAACGAGGGTGATGTGCTCACTTTGCTTCACGTTATTCCTCCAACCCAAAACAGTTCTAAATCTTCTTTTTCTTCCACTTTCCTTGGCTCACTTTGCAAGGCTTATAAACCTGAGGTAATGCAGGAAACTCTCAAGCTTGTTTGTATTTATATTTGTCCAGTTTCTGGAAAGAAAACCGTACTAAATATTTGTCGTTTTTGTGTTTTCATGGGGGATATACCCAGGTAGAAGTGGAAGCAGTGGTTATCCAAGGTCCCAAGGTGGAGACAGTGTTGAACCAAGTGAAGAAGCTAGAGATTTCAGTGTTGGTACTGAGCCAGAAAAGGCCATCTCCATTTTTAAACTGGTGGGTTCACTTCTTATTACTCTGTGGTTCATTCAGATGAGATCTGAATCTCCCAAGCATTTTGGTGATTAATAATGGGTGTTTGCAGTGTGAGGGGGAGCAGCACCGAGGAGTTTGTCGAGCAGTGCATAAACAATGCAGAATGCTTAACCATAGCGGTTAGGAAGCAAAGGAAAGGCGTCGGTGGCTACCTGGTTACCACTCGATGGCAGAAGAATTTCTGGCTATTGGCTTAATACCACTTGTTTTCATCAACTATACATTAATTAGTACGTGTATGATGTCCCTGAGAGCATGTGCAAAGATTAGTGTAATTAATTACTAGCTTCTGAGGTTGTCTTTAATTAATTTACTCTTTAACAAGATTTGACTATCGTCATTAATATAACTGGCTCTCTCTTTATTTTCTCTGTTTCTCATCTGATACGGTGTTCCTCTTGTTTGCAAACCCTACAAGGCAATTCATGCCCTTCGACAAGCACTGAGAAACATGGTTCAACAAGTTGAAAGAGTTTTTAGGGTCTATTCATTTTCAATCATCAAAGACAAACTCTTCTATATCTCTCTACAAAACTCATTGTTTATGTTCACCGTACATTCAATTTTCTCTAAAGACTTTTGGTGAACTACTGTACTTCTTGGCCATTGAAGTTACAAAACTTGGTAATGGTTTGTACTTGGCACAATTTCACTCGTGAATTATTACAAAAAAAAAAGGGACATGCTAGAGGCGAATGTTATTCCCTCTCCTATGAGTAGTTCTTCTCGCTTTTCTAAAGATGGAGGAACTTTACTTTTAGATGTGCAACACTTTCAAATCAGTGTGGGGGCATTATAATACCTCACTCACACTCGTCTTGACATCTCTTTTAGTGTACGCAAAGCTACAAAATAGATGTGTACTCCTTGTGATAGCTATTAGATTGCGGTAAAACATATTTTACAGTATCTAAAAAGTACATCGGATATGACTTGATTTTTGTTACAGACTCGTCTATAGTTCTACATTTTAAATGTCGAATGGGCAGATAATCACTATGACTGATGATCAATCTCTTAATATTGCATTTGCACCTAGAGTCAAAGTATATTTCTTGGATTTATAAGAAACAAAGAGTTGGATCCCTTTGTATAGTAGAGTTAGAATATCGCAGTGTAGTCGATGTTAGACCAGAACTTGTTTAATTAAAATCAGTCCTTGGTGATATTGATTTGTTCTAAATGAACTCCTCCAATTGTAACGTGGCAACCGACAATACTGACATAATTATTATGACTATAATTCTTATTCTACGTGACGAAACGAAATAGATTAGATTAGATTTGATATCCATTTTATTTGGGTTGAAGTCCTCAATCATCTACTTTTAGCCAAAACAGGAGTTTTGCATTTTTGGAGGAGGCAAAATGAACTGATATTGATTTAATTTGTCAATATATATCATATGCATAAGATATTTCCCGGACTGCAATCATTTGTCTCGCAATTCCTATAGAGCTGAAAATTTGTGTATCAGTGTTTATTTCAGTAGCATGATTGTGGATCATTTTTCATTTATCATTCTAATATCATATGGGAGGTTTTTGGTATTTCCCGGACTGCTGATAGTGCTAGGCATGGAGTTTGAACCTTTAACCTCTCTCACTTCTTCAATATTTCTCTGATATTTTAAAAGCAGCGTTCTTGATCATTGTTTTTGTTTCGTGGTTTCAGAGTGGGTATTCAAGAGGGAAGCTTGAGGATGATCCGTGGATCGTTTTATATAGCCAAATATAGCGATTCGGGGTCCCAGGGTGAGGACAGCCACTTTATCTGTGAAGAGATGCATACGATCGGAGTGGCGGTTGGCAAATGGGAGGCATTGACGCCAGAATATACACGAGGCAACTCATGAACAATTCTCTTCTTGCTACCCTCACTCAGACTCATCCACACAATCGGCTTGCATCATAACTCTCAACGAGGACAACGTGTGTTATTTTCTATCCAATCTCATTGCAGATATCAAGTTAATACAAACTAAAGTCGTGAATCTTTGAATTTTGTTTTCCTATATATGTAGATGTTGCATGCTGTGAACATGGGAGATAGCGGGTTCATGGTGATCAGACAAGGTGCAGCCATATACAGATCCCCAATTCGGCAACGATCTTTCAATTTTCAAAAACAGAGGTTTTTGATTTAAATGCATAGTTTAGCCTAAGACCTATTAAAAAAAATTTCGAGTAATAAAATCACGCCATGTCAATGCCACTTTGATCAAGTATCTCTGATAAGTTTAATATTTAATATTGTATTTAATAACAACAAAATATAATTTCTCTGGTAATACGTTGCCGAAAATTGTCGGCTCTAACCATCTTGATCTTCTCTTCCAAGCACCCCTCCGCGATCTTGTGCATTTGATCTCAACAAATCTGTAATTTTCTCATTTGCAGACATTTTTTAATAATGGTAATAGTCTGTGACGGATATAGAAATATTTGAGTTACAACGTTAAACATTAGGGACACTAATAATAATAAAAATATGAAGTACTAAGATGAAAAAACAAATAAATATAAGGGGACAAAAATATGTTAAATAAAAAAGTATGATACATAACAAGAAAATATCAATATGAATACAAAAATTGAAAGACAGTAACGTAAAAAGTGTAATTAGCAGTGGTTGAAATTACCTTTTTATAAACTCTCATTTTACTCAAAGTTCCAGCATGAACATAAATGGATGGGATGCAATATGCTGCTATAAGGTGCATTTCTCTCCATTTCCTGTTTCTCCATTAACTCCCATTGCCTGAAGAAGCAGAGTTCGTTTAAACGTGAACTCCTGTAATTGAAGAAGTTAACTGACAGATTATCATGGTGTTAACAGTGTGAGAGTGTCAAATGAACTTGGAGCTGGAAACGCCTGGCTTGCCAAATTTTCAGTGATGTTGTTTCCGTGACATCTATGAGCATTGGGATTGTTTTCATGATTGTGGTGTTTACCACCAGAGGTTACTTCCCTCACCTCTTCACCACCAGTGATGCAGTTGCCCACGAAACTACCAGGTTTGATCTATTATTGGGAGTTACGGTCCTCTTAAACGGCCTCCAGCCTGTCCTATCCGGTGAGTATTCCCTTTTGTTCCTCATTTTGCTTGAAGTAACGATGTTTTACATGTGTTCAATGCATATTCTTGTTATACTTCCACCGCAAATCATGTTTCCGCCTTTATTTTTACGTCAACGTCGAAAAGACTCCTACTCTGATCCATTTTTTTTAGAATTCTATATCTTCCTATCAACAACTTTTGATATGACCTCTTATAGATAAATATGAGTTCTTAGAGTCAAACATACCGTCGAAGTTTCAGGAATGGACCGAGAGGACCGCACCCCCTAAATATTTAAATTATATTATATTTTTGTATTTGTCTAATTCATAGTATATAAGATATCTATCACACTTATATTTTTGTATTATATTGTGTTTTATTATCCAGGTCTCTTTTCTAGTTAATATTGATTTGTTGAATTCAAAGCAAAGCTTTAGTGCTGATATTCTGATACGCAGACTGAAGAAGCTGAAAGCCGTATAAAGAGATGGGGAGGAGCAGCTGGTGGAGAGCACTGATTTTACATAACTAATTTATTATTATGTATTAATTGAAATAAACATATTCTTTTGCTCTACATATGGGGTCGTGGGATCGAGTCCAACGGAGGACATTTCATAATTCAGAGGTTTTTTACGGAAGCTGCTCTCAACCTGGTATTGGGGATAGCCTACTATCTTACCTCCCCCTTACCCCATACATATGGGAAAAAAGGACAGCCATTTTTGCTCTACAAATTCAGTAGCTTTATAAATCACAAATTTTTCTCCCCCGGAGATTGGGAATTTGAGAAGCTCACAGCAGTTTAAGAAGGAAGGGGAAAGGAAATGGCGAAATCCAGAGGAGACCCAAAACCGATGAAGCCTATGCTGCGAGTTTGACACATTTCATTGTTGCACAGTAGGGGTGGGAATAGGCTAGACAGGCCTATAGGGGCCTACGGCCTGACCTACATAAAGCTTGACCTGGCCTATTTAATAAAAAAATTAGGCCTAAGCTTTTTAAAAGCCTATTAAATTAAATAGATCAGGCTTAGGCTTATTAAAAAGTCTTATAAGTCTGATAGGCCGACATATATATATATATATATACCGTACGCACCAATTTTTTACCCAAAAATATATATTACAAAAATTATTTTTAAAATGCAAAAAGGCCATACCTTGCTGTCCAAGCACCACCCACGAGCAGACAAAGGTTCAACTCCCCGAGCAAGACCCACATTGTGCCCATATCTACCCATTCCTTGCTCTACGAGACTCATGCTCTGGCACCTGGAAAACAACAATATGAGGCAACCATTACAATTCATTGGTAAGGTACCAATAATAAACTAATAAGTAATAATGCATTATGCATCCAACTATCCAAATTGTTGAGTTAATCGATCGATGGAATCGGCCAAGAGGGGGTGAATTGTCAATAAAAATTTCGGTGGAAGTTTTTGCAAAAAATTTAAAATATTTGCACAACGATTTAAAGTGGTTCGACTTTCTCAACCAAAGTCTATGTCCACTACCTTAGCTATCCACACTAAGGATTTTTCACAAATTCACTAATTTGTCTTTCTTTTGAGGACAAAGAGTAACCTTACAAATCCCTCAAGAATTATACCCTAAATTCTTGAGAACACCCTCTCCCAAAGAGAACAATACAAATTTTGCAAACTTACAAGAAAATCTTCACAAGGCAAGATGTTTGCACAATTCTAGAACAAAGAAAGAACACTCAAGAATAATACAATTGAGCACGATAAGTGTTCTTGAAAGCAAAAATGAATATTGAATAGAATAGGCTTGAAAATGCTCAAATTTGAGGTTTGATGTTTTCTCTTTGATTCTCTCTTGATTCTTGTTGGTTGTTGTTGATCAATGGCTCCTAAACTTGTTTAAATATTCATTGGATCATTTTTGAACGTTGGGGATCATTAGTGGAGTCAATAGAGCTGTTATTGTGTGAAAACAATTAATAAAACAGTTGGGAGCGTATGATGCATCAATGCATAAGCAATGTGCATCGGAACACTATGTGTAAAATTCAAATATTTCGACCGTTGGAAGACTTAGTGCATCGGTACACTGGGGTGTGCATCGGTGCAAAAATTTGCTTCGATGTTTTAAAAGAGCCAGAGTGCATCGATGCATGTCTTGTGCATCGGTACACTGAATGCATTCGATATTTCAAAAATATTCAGGGGTGCATCGATGCATGGCTTGTGCATCGGTGCACTAAATGCATTTGAAATTCAATTTAATTAAGAGTGCATCGATGCATGAACTAGTGCATTGATTCATCCCTTTGAAAATTGAACTTTTTGCTCGTTTTTTGTTCGAAATACTTTGTGAAAATTGTTTCAAAAATATTTTAAGATTAAAACACAATTTTTTACTTTAGTAAGGATTAAATTTGAACTTTGAAAAACTTGGAGTAATATTTTGATATTCGGATAATTCTATCGAATATACTTAGAAAATCATTTGTAAAATCTTAAAACTCATTTATCTTAATTTGTTATATCGAAACATCAAAATGCTTTCAACATAAATCCAAGGTAAAGTTTCACGCACATATTCATTGGATTTGAAGCTTTGCATCATTCATCTGCTTCGTGTATCCAACTATCAATTTATTTATTTTCCTCTCTCATACTCGAGTATTTGCATGTTCTGTTTCAAGCATTTGTGAGTCTTTGAGATATCATTCGTTAATTCATACAACCTTGAGAAATTCTGGGTTTTTTTCTCTCCGTTGTTTCTGTTTGGCTTCTTCGTCTTCCTCTTCAGCTATTTTCCCTTAAACCTGAAAAACAACACCAATATTACTTGAAGATTCGGAACATTGATTTCTGGGTGCTTAGTCAAGTTGTAATCTTTCTTTGCATAGCAAACACCTTCTGTTATTACCAAAAAAAACCCAAATTCGAAATGGATATGGGATTTTTTTTATTTGATTTAGTTACCTTGGAAGAGGTACTTGGAGATCTCGCAGCGATTCTTCTCTAGGATAATCTAGAATCAAGAACGCAAAAACATTATAGCTATTTTTTCACTTCAAGCTTTGATAGAGGTAAAACTTCAAAACCTTGCCATTTTTTCTTCCATCTTCTTATTCCTTTAACAAGTTTCATTATGAGTCTTGATTTAGGCATGTTCACGTTGGTTTTTTGTTACTTGGTGATATATGATTTCTATCAATACTTTTTTGCATGTCATTATAACTATTATATTTAGATAGCTTTTTCATTACAGAGGCAATGTAGTTTTGGGACATCAATTTTAATGGTTCCTCTTGTTGTTGTCCTATGTTGTGTCATGTTTTAATTCATATTTTTACTATGTTTAGCAGATGTCTTCTCCCTTGGAAATTAGTGAACCAATAGCATCCACTCATACAAATGATAATGAGGTGAATGTACAAGTTCCTGTAGATTCAACTCAAGTAGAAGCTAACAATCAAGAAAATGAACATGAAGAACCAGTTGTCGGGATAAAGAGGTTAAACAAATACTTGATAAGGAGATTGAAGATGAAGATCTCTTCATGAGGGAAATGGTAGGTCCCATGAAGAAAAAGTAACTAACATATATGTATTTTTCTTCTTATTTTGAAGGCTGAAAAAGAAGAGATACAAATCTCATTGAAGTTTTGATTGTCTTGTCTGGTTAGAAAGTTTGCATGTTGCATTGAAATTCTTATGGTGATTGTGTATGATTTGGAGGAGCTAATGATGAAATGGTGTTACTATTAATTTTATTGGTAGATATTTTATGTACCAGTTTTGTTCAAATGGAATGGAGATGTAGGCTTTATTTTTTGTTTGTAATACTTAATATGTTGGTTTGATAGACTTGGATGATGCTACCTCAAGTATGAGGTTCTCTTTTGTTTTGGATTATTTTATATCATCTTGTGATTTCAGTTTATATTATTAATATATTTGTAGGACTACCAACTAAATTAACGTTAGATTAAAAATTAAGCCAAATTATATATTAAGACCTTGTTTAGCCTATTATAGAAGGTGTGTTATTTTTTTTGGTAAAACAACTATCAAAGGAATATTAAAGGTTTAATGTGAATAAGGCTTTTAAAAAGACTATCAGGCCAGGCCAGGCTAGGCTAGGCTTTTAAAAAGGTCAGGCCGAGCCAAAATAAAAGCCTTTGATAGGCTATAGGCCAGGCTTGGGCCTAAAAAATTTATCGTAGGTCAGGCTCAGGCCTTTTAAAGCTTGGCCTGTCCTATTCCCACCCCTACTGTACAGACACAAATTTATTAATGACTCGTTAACAAATTTAGGGAGTTGCTTGGTGGTAGTCACATGTATCGTCTTATGATTTAATTGAACATTTATTAAATTAATTTATTTAAATTTTAAAAAAAAATTAATCAACTAGTGACGCGTCACTCCCTAATTGAAGAATTAAATTTATTAGTTTAAATTAAGATTAAGATTAAATTGATTGTAAGTGTAAGAAATGAGGATCAAATCTATAAATATGTAACTTTTTAACTACCGCATCAGCTATTTCGTCAAATGTTAATAACGAATGATTTGATTGACACTATTTAAATAAAGTGGTCTGATTAAGATTAAACTGATTGAATGTGTAAGTAATGAGGATCAGACCTATAAATATGTAACTTTTTAACTACCACATCAACTCTTTCGTCAAATGTTAACGAGGAGTGATTTGATTGGTAACATTTAAATAGTTGAGTGGTCTGACTAATAAAATTTAAAGATTAATAACATTAAAAGATAGATGATCAAAATGAAAATGGGTAATAGTTAAGTGGTTATACGTATAATTTACCCATAATTATAAGCTATCGCCTATGGGACACCAACTCAACTCTTTTCACCTTTTGTTTTAAAATAGTGTTTATATTTCCTCCTATACTTGCTCTCTCTACACTACGATGAATGGGTACAGAGAACACAATTCATGCTGCTATTTCCATCCTAAACAATTTGTTATAGGTGTTTGCCCTTTGTGCTTGAACGAGAGGCTTCTTATCTTAGCTTCAAACCGAGCCCAACGCTCTTCTTCATCCACCAGAGGCACCCATAGATTTATTCGAGGTGCTTCATTAAAGAAACCTCCCATTAACCTCCCCAAGATCTTTGCTTTAGGTTCACTGCTGAATCGTCTTGAGCTCAAGCACCTCGAATCCCAACATTCTGATGCTTCACCCAATCAAGAAGGTAATATACATTTATTTTCTTTTATGTGTTATTGAATATGCATCAAAAAAAGGGAAAAAACTGATATCAAAACTTAATACTACGAAAAAGATATGCATCACATGCATGCATGCGTCTCCTATGCTAAAACTGAAAATGAAGAGTCTTCTTCTATTTTCTTCTCTGGGTATTTCTCCCCAAATTAACAATGTTTCAGAGTAAAGAACTTTCCCTACATAAACTGATAGCTGTTTCCCAACATCAAAATGTGTGTATGTATGTATGCATGTGTGCTTTGCATGGAAATATCATGAAAATGTTTCATGCTAATTGGAAGATATGTTTGTTTTGGAACAATGAATGCCATTGATAAGTCCTAGGAAATCATATGATTTTTTAAAGGCATTTCCATCCAAATCTGCAGGTAATTTTACGTGTTTAGCTAATCATGTCCTCTTGCAACGAAAACAATTATCAATAGAAAATAAAAAAGGCCTAAATTACGTGATAATTTACTTCGCAGATTCCTTTATCTCAATCAAGTTTGAAAAGAATGGTTTTGGTTCATGGGAAAAAGGCACAGTTTCTAAGGTCTCTCTTGAGCATTGCAACATGTTATCATGTAACCCAATCTTGACCAAGGAGACCAATAAGAGCGTGACAGAGCATGCAAAACCACGAGCCTCGCTTATGTGGCAGAAGAGGATTGACCACTTGGTCCAACTCATAAGGTGGAAGAGGTCCAGAAAGGTAGAAGGATAAGAACTCTGACAGAGTGGACCAAAGAATAAAGACATACTTTTGTATAGAAAGGGTCACTAAAGCTTTCCTTTTCCTCCTCCATACCAATTTGTGTGTGTTGGGGCTCTCGTATACTTTTATCATCCTAAAGTGCTTTGGCTTAAAGTTCATTGGCTGCTTCTATTATTCTATTATTCTATTCTTGTTTTCTGTTCAACAAAACCAACTGTAAAAGGATTTGTTTACAATGTGGTACTCATTTCAGATTGATTTAGACACAGGCACATTCCTTACACAAAAATAAATATTTGTATATTTTTTCTCTCCATACTGATATTTGAAGTCCCCATGTGCACAAAGTGAAGAACATTGGAGCATAATTTCACAAATTTTACATTATTTTTGGAGGTTTTGGCCACCACATGCCAGTCATTGTGCTGGTGCAAAGTAACCAGCAGGCAGCAGGACCCTTTGTCCAGAATCACCCTTCATTATGGGGGAATTTGTCCCAAATTCTATATCTCCAGCAAAAGGGCCAGTGCCATTAGGACCACAATGAGAGTTGAGAAAAAGGCTAAAATGGAGTGGTGCATTTAAGCAAAAGGACAAGTGCAATTAGGACCACAATGAGAGTTGAGAAAAAGGCTAAAATGGAGTGATGAATTTAACATCTATATTTAGTTGCGTATAAAACTCAACTCGATTTAAAAAAAATATTTTTTATTCGACTTGATTAGACTAATAATTTTATAAACTCAACTAAAAAAATTACAAATAAAGTTTGAGTTATAAAATAATATTCAAATAACTCGAAATGTTTAGTAACTAGTAAATTGGTTTTCTGGAGTCAAGTTTTTCACCTTTGCATGATATATGTAAATCACATATGAAAAAATATAAAGATATATATATACATCATATATGATTACAAAAAACCGTTTAAATTAAAATCAACTAGTATCATAACATTATAAATATTTATAATTAAATTTAAATAGAAATTCGAACAACTATACTCGAAAATAATAAGAATGTATAATTTCTTAACCTTATTTGTAAAATCTAAAAAAATCCTACCATCATTGTGTTAAAAACTTAGATTTAATTCAACTTAAAAAGATATTACATGAATATGATTACATTTAAACTTTGGGTAGTCACAAACTTCGGTCGACTCATTTCAAACACTCCAAATCACTTACCATTCATAATTCTATGCACATCAGTTAGCATGAAATATTAAGATCATATTCAAGAAGAAGAACAAAGAGGAGACAGAATGACTCGAAACAACCCCACAAGAAAACGCGGTATGATGCACTTGGAATACCAGCGATATGATGGCAATAGCACTCGAAGTAAATCACATAAAAAGCGGAGTGCCAAGTTCCTGAGCCGACGATGGTTGTAGGGCACGGATTCTAACATCGTATTTTCTATAGCTAGAAGCTTCATTACCAGAGGATGAATCGGATTTGTCTACGACAAGAGCATAGCCTAAAGTTTTGTCGTTGTAAGCATTGCCGATGTGGTTGCCACACTTGCGGCAAAGGAGTTTGGTTCTACGGCGGAACAAGCTCCAAGAGTGCCTTGAAAAGTAGGGAATGCATTGGAACTCATCAACTTGTGTAAATCTGCTCTCATCTATACTGAAGAACGATATAATCCCTCGCTTTATAGATTTTCTGTATTTGGAGCCAATTGTTGTGGTGATTCGACTCGAGGAACTCAGGTTTAGCTCATATCCACAAGAACCACAGCTGCAAGAAAGAATTGGTTCCACCATTTTATATCTTCGAAAGATGTAATGATAAGAAAAACATCCAAGGAAACTATTATGCAGCGTGTTCGAAACTAGGGTTATTCACTATCAATCAATGGAAGCAAGGAGACTAATTTGCAATAATTGAAGCACTAAAGGGACTTTTCCGCTAACCGACCCTGTCCGAGTACCCGTAGCAAAAGAATTCTCAATGTCAAGTACTCAAATGTAAGAGTTTGTAAATTCCAATTTCATATGGTATAAAGTAATAGGAAGTTATAAACTCTTGCAGTTCTATTTGGCCAAAAGAAGAAGTCTTTCGGTCCTAAAGGGCTCTTCATCAATTAGCCAACTAAAAGTAAACGAAAACTACATTCCCACGAGTGTTCATATCCTGGCTTTAATAATCTAGTTCAAACAGACGAAATCAATTTAAGAACTAGAAGTGACTATCAAAGCTAAGTACATCAAATCACGAGTTCCAATCAGGGATAGACATTGGATTCTATATCAGGGGTACGTACTTAAGAAGTTAAATTAAATATTTATGGGTTGCGAAATTACAAAATCTGAGGTGTGCATCCGTACCCCCAACACCCTCGGTCTCTCCCTGGTTACAACTCAACAAACCATAAAAATTGAATCAGATGTTTTAATTATCATGTCCATCAAGTACCAACCATCAAGCAAGCCAGAGAATTTGAGTTGGTAAAGTTACCGTAAATACAAATTAACATATATACTTCAAGAGAATTTTGAAGATTTATATTGTCACACCCAAACGGCCCCTTTACAATCAATCGAATTCTCATAAAAGATTTTCTTCTGATCAAAATCTCATCCAAGATTCAGCCTTGTACTCCAATCTACAGTTAAGGATAAACTCTTTATTACCCTAAACCAGTCCCCTGGTTCACAATCTATGGATACAAAAAAAAGAAGGTAAAAACATAGACTTCATTTAATACAATTAGGCATAGTAGGCGCAATCAATTTCCATAATAAATCAACAAAAAAACAACAAACCCAGAATCAATAATCTCATAACAAACAAAACCCATAATTCAAAATTCAAAAATTTAAACATCCAATTAAAACAAAGAACGGATTGGAATCCCGAAAAAGGGGGAAATCAACAAACCTGTAAGCTACATGTTTTAGAGAAGCAGGAGAAAAGGAGTAATGGAGATTTCCATTGACCTGTTGAACATCGTTCATAAAAACAGAATTCTCCATTGTTCCTCCTTCTTCTTCTAAAAATCAAACAGCTCTGACTAGGTTGACGGTAGAGACCGATTTTTTAGTAGTAACTGCTGAGTTGGGTGAGGAAGGACGCGTTAACGGCTAAATTTTCAAGGCTCAGTTGGGAAATAATAATTAAGGCCGCGGCAAGGCTCTGTGAAAAGAACAGAGAATATTTTTCCCCTCCTAGGGTGTTTCGGCTTTTGTTTTTTAATTTATTTTAAATTACTTTTAAAACTTTAAATATGAACATTAATTGGGTTTTTAAAATTTAATTACTAATTTTACAATTTATATTTTTATATGAATATTCATATATGCACTTTTTTTTGGGTACATAAGGGTAAAATGACAACATTTAAAGTACCATCTTAGGAACTCAATCTCAATTCTATGATCCTGAAACAAAGACTATAACTCTTCGGGTGGTTCTTCAAGGATGTGTATTCTTTTCTCTTTCTTGAGAGTCCTCTTAGTCAAACGATCTGCATACGGTTCTCCTCTCTCCAAGTATATCTGATTTCAGTAACCTAATCTTCATCGATGATTTTTGCACAATCTTTGAATATGATTTCATTCTGAAATTCTTTGAATCTCTCATTCTTTAGGGTTCAATTGTCCACTTCGCATCAGCTTCAATAACCAAATTCCTCACCTCTAGGTCCTTTGCAAGGAGTATGTAGAGACATTTTCCTCCGAGATTTTTATATAGCATAGTATATATAATAAATATAGTTTTAGAAATATATAATATATAGTTTTAAAAAAAAATAGTTTTGAAAACGTATAATATATGTTTTTTAAAAGGGGTTTGAAAACCTATATATAATATAGTTTTTAAAAATGGTTTTTGAAAATATATTAATATATTACATAATTTTTTGGAAATATAATATATGTTCTATAGTTTTTTATTATTTTTATTATTTATTATTATTTTAAGTTATATTATTTATTAAATTTTAAAAGGTTCAATCCAGTCTAAAGTGCAGCCCAACCAAGCCAGCAGGCCTGACCCATCAAACCAACCCGGTGACCTAGCCCATATGAAAAATAAGGTTTCACAAATCAAACTTAGCGCCACATTTACAAGAGCCATCATATCAAAACATAAACCAACGACTGAGATCGAAGCAAAATAGGGTTGTAAAACCCTAATCATATGAAGTCAAGCGCCGCACGAGAAGAAGCAAGCAGCGTGCGTGGAGGCCATGCGCCAACAAGTTGGCCGAGATTTTCGGCCGAACGCCTGAGACTGAACCATCCCAGGATTTTCGGCCCAACGACGACCTCAACAGAACGTGAACAAGTCAGGAAACAACCCCGGAAAGATCAGGGATGACCCCGAGATAATCGAGACCCAAACGACAGATCGAAGGGTATAACGTCGAAAAAGGTAAAAATCATAACTTTCACCCTAGATCTACGTCGTTTGGGATTTTTTTAGAGGATTTGAGTTTTGAATTTAGGTTTAGGGTGTTGAGGGGAGCCTTTTGGTGAAGTTTGACTTTTTCTGATCACCGGAGGTGGTGGCTAGAGCTGCGGCTGGGCGGCGGCGCTCTAGGCTAGCGGGTAGCCGCTAGGGGAGAGTTGAGAGAGAGTTTTGTAAAGGGGGAGTGTTTTTAAGGAATGGGTGAAATATGAGATAATTTTGGGTTTTAGGGATTATATATATGGAGGACTAAGGATCAAATATCAAAATTTTAAATTATTTTCGCAGTCCCTGGAAGTGTTAAGTGTAATTCATTTTGGTCACCTGTTTTGAATTTACCCTTGAATTTTGAATTGTTTCAATTTAATCCATGTTCATATTTTTTATATTTATGCAATTAAGCCCTCTAACTTCTTATTTTTTTCTTGCATCCCGTAATTAATGTCAATTTAGCCTTTGATGTTTAGTTCCTTTCAATTTAATCCTTTAATTCTAATTTTCTTTTAATTGTTTTTATTCACTTTTTTTATTTTATTTCATTTTACATTATTATTTCACACTAATTCGATTTATCTTCTAAATTTTATCTTATTTTAACTCTAGTATTAATTCTTTTCAATTTCATTTTATTTTATTATTTCTTATAATATTTTAATTTTTCTTTTTATTTATTTTTAACATCCTTTTTGTTTGTTTTGTTTTATTATTTAACATTAATTTAGCTTTTTAGGGACAATTTCAATCTATCAAAGGTAAGTAATTCGGATCGAACCTTTAAATTTCAATTTAACTTTTAATTTTCGCAATTAAGATAATCGAAAAATTAAATTGGTACCGAAAGGGTAGTGCAAGGGTGCTAATCCTTCCTTGACTGTAACCGACTCTCGAACCCAATATATTTCTGGTAAAACACAAATCAGGTAAGACGATAAAGTGAGGTGTCATGTCAACCTAATTTTAAAAAATAAATGATCAGTGGTGGCTCTAGGATGTTTTATTTAAGTCGAAGCCCAATTTCGGGCTCACTCGAAGGAAGATTACGACAGCTTGACGACTCCGAAGGGAACATGTAAGTGAGTCAGACCAAAATTAATTTCTGGTTGTCTTCTTAAGCGAAAATTGTAATTTTAAATTTTAATTTTAATTTTCGATCCTTATTATTTACCTTTGATTATTATTTTTAAAATAAATAGTCTTAGTGATGTTTTTTTTAATGATTTCAGCTCTTCAAAAATTCATCCCATACGCTATACTCGAGCTTAAAACCCTTTTGTAAGTGGGGGTGAAAGCAACGCCTTCGTGGGAATTTATTCTCCGTATAGGCCTAGCAAGTAACCTTCGGGATTCATATACCTTATGTCTTCGTGTGAATTTTTTCTGATACAAACATAAGGTAATATGTCCTCTCGAGTTTAACTCAGTCCACATAAGTTTTTAATGGGCTTAGGACTGAGGGTTTGACAAGCCCAAGAGGGAACCAGCAAGGAGAACTCGGGTACCTTTTTTAGAACCTAAACTGGGAGAGTACAAGGAATTAGAGTCCACCCCAAAACTTCATTTCAAAACCTAGGATGCTTGAGTTATTTCCTATTTTATTTTTTTATTCAAATCATGCGAACTAGAAAAATATGCGGTTAGGAATTGCTCAAAAATTAACATGTGTGATAGAAATCATATCCGGGTAAGAATAAAAGTATGTGGGGTAGATATCATGTGCGGGAGGAATTTTTACTTTCATTTTTTGTTTTCTTTTAATTTTTTTCATTCTCATCATTTTAATGAGGTGATTGATCCACAAAAAAAGTGTTCGCTAAACACAAATAATTTGCATTAATGGACAAAGGAGTTGTAATGCTAAAGATGAAAAATGTAGAGGTCCAACTATGGTCAGAGAAGACTCAGAAGAAAAATGGAGACAGTCTGCAAGACAACTATGTGTCAGATCTGGTTGGTTATGCTTCTGTCAGCCTTAAGCTAAATAATGTTCAAGAATTGCGGAGCATTTGAGACGGTTGGAAAAATGACCAGAAACGGAAATTCTGCCAACGGTATGATGATATCAGGCTTCTACTATATGTCAAGATAGATGAGCCCTTAATTCGAGCCTTAGTGTAATTCTGGAATCCAGGGTACAACTATTTTACATTTAATCAAGAAGAAATGGTGCCCAAAATCGAAGAGTATACTACTTTACTACATTGTGAAGGAATCAGAATGGACCGAGTTTATATCAAGCACATCAAAAGTCAACATTTCAAGAATAGGTTGGCAAAGATTGCAGGGGTAGATGAAAAGTGGGTAACTGGAAGGATTCAGCACAAGGGTAAAGGAAAGGGAATTGCTTAGACCCATATCAAGCAACTAATGAAGAATCATCCAGATGAATGGAAGGTAATAGACTTTTTCGTACTAGGTCTCTACGGCTTAGTTATCTTCCCAAAATCTTTGGGATACATCGAGGCGGCTATGGTGGAACTGTTTGAACAACTACTGAAAAGAGTGAACCATGCACCAACAATATTAGATGAAACTTTTCGTTCACTCAACCATTGCAGAAAGACTGGGGGAGGAAGATTTATAGGATGCACACAGCTTCTTCAAGTCTGGATCCATAGTCACTTTTGGAACACTGATGGGGTTTCTTATCGTCGGTTCAGCACCACTTACTTTTTTTGGGGAATTTCTTACACAAAATGGCAAGAAGGCATCCCAAAAGAAAAATGGGTAAAGGTATTCATGCACCTTCAAGATAAGGACATTGTCTGGAGAGCCCCTTAGTTGACCCATAGTGACATCCTTTATCGATGTGGAGACTCAGGAATCATAATGTTGCTTGGATTATGGGGAGAAGTTGGATATTCTCCACTTTTGGCAATTGACAGTATAGGACACGCCAGTTTGTCCCATCTACACATGGAATATTTGGATCAAAATGTACATACCATGAGGACAACTACAAGAAGAATGTCAAAGATGTAGCTGAGTCATGGAAGAAGATATTTCGTATGGATCGTGGTTACTAAGACATGCCTGTTCCAGATTATTTGAAATGGAAAAAGTTAAGAAAGAATGACACTGTTCCCATACCCGATCATAAAGATACTCGGACCATAAATCAGTTCCCTCCGAATTGGAGATAGTAAAGAAAGAATTTGAAGTTGAAAAGGAAGAGCTGAAACAAAGGCTAAGGGAACTCGAGGCTGAAAAATTCCAATGGAAGTTAGATGTCGATACTCATAAGGTTCGGGCAGACGTGTTAGAAAAAGAACAGAAGAAAATCTGCTTTGAGTTGGAATATTTGAGAAAAGGGTATCAGGAGCAAGTTCAGAACAATTTCAATCTAAAAATATCTTCTGGATACTGGAAAGGTGAAGCCAGTAACCTGAAAAGGAGGTTTGAATGACAAGATGAAAAGGAGACAATGAAAGAACATTTAAAGACTTTCCAAAGACGTTTGTTAGAAAGCCAACACCAGAATAAACGGTTGAAGACCACTGTAGCTGATCTGGAGAGGTTTCTTCAAAGACAACAAGAACATGATAGAAAAACCATAAATGAGTTGGAGACCATTGTGGACAAATTTAAGAAACAAGCAAGTGAGCTTCATATAGTTCCCTATGATGGAGGATTTCAATGGTGTTTTCGTTGAGAGCAAGCTCAACAAAGGGTGAAAGCTAGAGATATGGTCATTCAAGA